GGTTTTGGAGACACTGCTGAGTTCTGTAAACTAAAATAGTCAGAAGTGATTTAAGGAACAGCAAATTAATTTTTGTGTTTTAATCCTGAAACTCATTTTGTCTTCATCATTGTCGCTTAATTGCTGATTGATCTTCAGCTGTCAATCAAACATTGTGGGCGGTGCTTTGACATCTTCTCATCATTGTTGTGTAAATGTTTGAGTGTCTTTAGGTGGAGCTCCTTTCTGTGTCTGTTTAGCCATGGAGGCTATCACTGCTCATGATGACCTTTGTTGACCTGAACTGATATTTCTCTTCATGAAAATGTAAACTGCTCTGAGGTTTAAATGTTTGATAAATATTAGTATTGATGTATTTGTTAGTTGTTTCTCTTCCACTGCATGGCTCTTAAAGAGAGAAATCACCAGAGCTTCTTTTATCAAAGAGATTTAGTTCTCAGCACTCTTTGTAAAGATTTCTTTCAGTGAAATTAAGTTTATTTTCTATAACAGATTAAATGTTGTTCTTGTTGTTTTATTAATCGTTGTACAAAAGAGGTACTATGATGTATTATATAACTAATTATTATCATCATAGTCAATAAGTAAATCATTCATTATTCTCTTTTACATAACTGAGATTCTGGTCAAACAAATAGATGAGGATGAAGTGAATGTGTTCATGAAATCATTGAACAAGAGTCATTGAACAGACTTTACTGATGGGATGTGAACAAACTGAAGGTTTACATGATGAATAAAGTATTTCTTGATTCAAGAATGAACAAAGTCTTTTCTTCTGGTCTTATTTACAGGGTTTCATACAAAGCTGATGGAGAAAATGTGAAACTAATATGAGAGTATAACTGAGTCAGTTTTCCTCCTGAAACACCACAAAGTACAGAGTTCATGTTTAGAGCAGAAGAACATTAGTCAGTCAGTCTCTGTCCTTTAAACTGTCCTCACTAAAACATCTTTGTCACAGAGAAATGAGCCGTTTTATATCACGCGTCACTTCTTTCAACCAACGTTCTGTTTGTGCACTTAGTCAATAAAGAGGATTTATTACACTGACATGAAATAATATATAAAGATAGTGAATTAATTTGGTGAAGTTTGGGTGTGAAGGGATTTACATAACCTAATATAACGACAGGGTGAGTTGTCATATTTAAGTTTTCACATATTGCTGTGAAACATGATAACACCCAACAATCAACTAAAATAAGATATTCTACTTGTGTGAGATTTGTTTTCATTAATGGAGAGTGATTTCAGTTTAAAGTGCCTTTAGAAAAGCTTAAATATCTGAAGTTCATTTAGTTTACAGAGTGACAATCGTACAGATTACAGCTCCTAAAGAACAATACTTGTTAGTAAGAGGAACACATGAAATTCAAACTTTGTTCGTCGCAGCTTTAAAAATGACATTTTACAGATGAATAAAAACAAAACTAGAATCACCGACCCGCAGTCGTATGCCTCCACCCAAACAGTCAGAAATGTCATCACTTTATTTTGTCCTATTAGACATATGTGTGAAATTGCCATAATTATTATATTAAGTTTTAGCCAAAAAGGTCACAGTTCCTCCTTGAGTTTGCGCCAAATTTGAAAAGTTTCCCTCCAGGCGTTGCGTTCAAGGACCAGACGGACGGATGAACAACAGGAAGACATAATGCCTCCGGCCATGGCTATCGCCAGGCATAAGACCCCCAAAACGTCCACATCACCAGGTCGGGTTAAAGGTCAATTGTTTTAATGTTAAAAATAAACTTCATTAGTTTCATGGTGAGAAGGAAAAGGTGTAGGAAAGTGAGGTATGTCAATCAAACACAGTTCGTACGCCTATACGGCCTGAGAAGAGGTCCTAACATGACACATGAGGGGAAAGGTGGTCGACAGACATTCAGAGGGTTTAATACAGAGGATCGATTGAAGGAGATGCTGTTTGGACTGGAAACGGACCTAAAACACGGAAATGAGTTCCAATTGTTGCACTTCCTGTTTTCCGTCTCAAAGTCAGTGGTTTTAATGGGTTTTGGTTTGATGCCTGAAATAAAGTCTGTGGTTAACACAAGCTTGCCAATAAAAACCCTCTCTTTAATTTTGAGTCTTCTACATGTCTTTAAAAGACGCTTGTTAACAAGTGAACCAATGAGACTACAACATGTTCTTTAGCTCAGTGGTGGCGACGTGAAGTCACGTGACCGTGATGTAGTGTCTTGAAGACATAACGTTCAGCGTTTAACATCTGGTGATAGCATTCACGCTTCACAAATCATAAAAGTGGTTTTCAATTGCGAAGACACAAACCTGCAGCTCACAAACCTCCAACGAGCCATGAAGGTCAGACCACCAGCGCCTCCTACTGGTTAAAGTGGGACACAGTTTGATTTTCGGAGGGGTCAGTTTAACATCATCTGACTTGAACAATCTTAACAACTTTCTGAAGATGATGACGCTGTCGCCTGCCCTTCTGCACATTCAGGCCATACACAGAGGTGAAAGGTCAAGTGTGTACTTGTGGCTACCTGATGATCAATCACAATAAGGGAAACAATGATAAAGTGAAATATACATATATATCTTTCCTTTTTATGGCACAAAGTTGTTTGGAGTTTCAGTAGTTAATGACACAAAAAAATGGAAAAATAAGCAAATATGAATGAGGTTGAACTACCAAGAAGCTTTTGCTAAATTTAGGTGAACTAGTTCATTTACATAACACTGAGTATCACATCACAACATGATATATAATGCATCACATCTTGTACTCATGTCACATGTAAAAAGGGAATACAGACAAATGAAAAGGTAACTCTGATTGTCTTGGACCGCTTTGTCTTCTCACCCCCCCCCCCCTCACTACCATATCATTGATTCATACTCTAATTGCACATAATAACGTTTGCACACTGGAATCAGCCGAGCAGATAATCTGTCATTTTCACAAGAGAGAAAAAACAACTGATGAGATTTCATGGATGTAAATTTGGACAGAACTCCAAATCCTCCTCAGCACTCAGAGGACAGATTAATAATCAAAGGTCATAACTCAGTTATTTATCAAGTGCTGATTTTGTGATTGCTTAAGTGAATGGTTACACAACAGCAGCAGAACCTCAACTCTTGTAACTATGCCTTAAACAAAGTACAAACACAGTTTTTGCTTTGCAATTCTGCAACACACGTCTTACAAAGCACTGCTCACTGTTCCCACATTAAACACACGTTAAAAAAAGAAATCGCCTGCAACCATTGGGAGAACAAACAAGCAAAACATACCTGGAATTGGCAACAGTTATATTGTAATGATCTCTCTTTTGTGTTTTTTCATGTTGTTAAAACCTGCGATTGGGAAAAAAAAAAGCCGCTATATTTATTTTGAAGCCTCTGTTCATGTATTCACTGAAATGTGAGTAGATTTTCTGCACTGGAACAATCTTTGCCAGAAGCATGTGTGAGAAAATAGAAAAGGAATACAAAGTACTAAATGTTTTCTATGAAGTACATTAAGTGTGCTGTTGATGCTTTGAAAGATTCATTTAAATGTGTGCCTCATTTAGTTGTGAAAATGCAACATTTGAGAAAGGATTGTTTCACTTTGACATAGAAGTGGGTGGTGGTGGTGTAGAGTTCTGAAGCAATGAGCTGTGTAAGAAATAGCAGGCTGAGTTTCCTTCTGGGTGTTTGGTGGTCTTCTAGCGCCACCTGGTGATAGATCCAAACTACAACATTCAGTGTGAGCTCTGCTCAGCACAACAAACCTGATTCCACTGAGCATCATAGACTCTTCTGCACTTGAAACAATATAGAGATTATCATAACCTTTATTGAATAATCTCATTGAGATCAAGATGTCTGTGAGTACAGCAGAACTAGACCAGAGATAGTAAGACACACACGCATCAGACGCATCTCTAAAAGGTCCAAAATTAAAAGATTAAATTCATCCAATCGGATGAGACTTTCTAGCTTGACTGTCCTGTGAAGTTCATACCATTCATACGGTGCAAAGTACTGAGATTCAGTATTTATTTGTGGGGAGTCAAGAGTTGGCCACTCGTGGGATCTGAACTTTCAAATTTGAGACGATGTGATGCACCGAAGCAGCTTATTAAGAGAGATCATTTATGAAACAGGTGTTAGTGAGTAGCTCTCCTCTCTGAATCGTCACTAGACTGTGGAATGAGCTGAGGAGATCAGGGCTGCAATCGCTCAACTTTTAAATCAAATTGCTTCTCTGTGGTTTTTATTTTACAACATTTGAGTTTGTTTTACTTTTGTCTTTTAGTTTATTCCGTTCTGTGTGTTTTAATTATGTTGTTTCATTGTAAAACAGTGTTTTGAAAGGTTCCATATCAATAAAGTTTGTCATTATTATCTGAGTTGTTCACAGGCCTGTTGTGTGTATATATAGGACACTACAGTATTATACTATAAGGTCTGTGGTGATGTAAGGCCCACAGTAACTGTCTCTCTTATTATTTAGCATTTCTCCAGATTCTTACCAGTGAGCTGCATGTTTTTGCTTTCAACTCTCCGCTCACATATTTTGGGTAGAGATCAAGCATGCTGTCTCTCTGTTCAGCGAGCAGGCATAACCGTCATAGTGAGTGACAACTTCGTTTGAGGGCCACTTTGGCTGAAAATGTGTGTTCATGATTAACTCCTGATATCGTACGATTAATCAGCTATTAGCTTTTTCCTGCTCCAACCTGTCGTTATTTTATCAGCCTTTAAAAGTGCACAATCGGTCGACTTCTTAATTCTCAAGAGTAACTGAAGTATGACGTGCACCCCCCCTCATCTCAAGACTAAAGGCTTTCTTAAGAAAGTAAATAAGTCAAAACTAAGTCATGTCTAAGTGACTTGAATATGTTTGTACATCTCTGGAATAGATGTGAACCAAGTCCTTCTATCTTTACATAAATCACTGCAGCTGTTTGGATTTTATTTTAATTTAATTTTACCCAGTTAACGGACAAACTAGGATGCTGAGAAGTAAAACAAGTACCTCAGACATGCTGTCTTATATTTTATTGTGATGGGGAGTCATAAAAATGGAGCAAAAATAAAAACAATACAAAAAGACAGTGGATGTACAAAGGGTGAGGACAGAACAAAGGATATGCAGCCTTCGACAGTACAATGGAACGAGTTGGCACAGAACAGAAAACGGGGCGGCGGGATGATCTAAATTTGGCTTCGAAATAAAAAAGGGAGGCTTCATAACAAGATCCTTCATTAAAAGGGCGACGACTCATGCTTCTTTAAAATCAGAGTTTTAGAATTCAGTAGCTTCATAACGACGCGGATGCACATGTAACACTTTCTATTTCTCACTTCATTCCTGACTTTTTTCTTTTTTTTTTAGCTTTAAACAGAAGTCATGTTTACAGAACACATGTTTTTATCTTTTTTTTTTTTTTTTTTTGTTAAAACAAACTTCAGCTCCCAGAACCACATTTTGGGTTTTTTTGTTTTTGTTTGTCTTGAGATTATTTTTCATACTAAAATATATTATTGTATCAATTCAAACTACATTAATGTACACTACAATGTGTAATAAATAACCATAAAAGAAAATATAAAAATAAGACACATAAATATAAAAAAGTCTTCTAAAAACTAAACAGGTACATTTTATTTTTTAATCTGTGAAAGGGTTCTAATACTGCCATTGTTGGAAAAAAACAAACATACAGAGGACACATCAAAACAATAAAACAGACTAATATTAGAAACACTGTTCGGTAGAACCAACTGAAAACACCTTGACAGAGACCACCTTCACTAACGTTTGTTACCTGAAGTGCGGGACAGCTTGCCACAAATCATCTGAAAACAAGTGCACAGGTTTGGCAAAATGTAAAATCCTTCCGCCTACGTTTGATTTGAAATTGATCTTGGGGGGTTTTTGTACATTTTCTTTTCCAGAGAGTCAAGTTGGAGCTGGACAACATTCCCTGCATGTTTTTAAGCTTTGAGTATTTCAATCTGCCTCAACAGAACATTTTCGGTTTTTTTTTTTTAAGCACTTATGTAAACATTTTTAAAACTCATGACTTCAAAACACATTAACTCGCATTCAAAAAGAAAAATGTTTTAACATCTGCAGGAAACTGATCACGTTAAGTTTACAAGGCATTTCATATCCGCATGTAAAGCTCAGTCTGGACTGTATTTCTCAATGGTTTCCACACACTTCCAAAGCTTAACAACTTCTCAACTACTTTTTTTGAGTAACTGTCAACTGGGCCACAGCTGAAAACTACATCAAATATACATATTCATTCTTTTTAAATATATATCATGTAGAGGCAAAAGCATTAGTTGATGAATTGATTATTTAGTCGATCTGCAAAAATCAGCGGCAGATTTTCTGATAACTGATTAATTCGTTTCTGTCATCTTTTTTAAAAAATTGTGGCAAATAAGCTGCTCTGTGCAAGTCGACAAACATTAGTCAATATGGGTCTTGTGTGAGTAACAGTGGGACATAATACTGGCTACATGTGAGGAGAAGAAACGATAACACTGTTCAATGGCACTTTTAACAGCACACAGGTCTTGCATAAGGCTGGAGGCGTTGGGGTGGAGCAGGGAACAGCCCTGTTCCTTCACGTACAGTATGACTTCATGTACAAGCTGATAACACTGAAACACTGACTCACTACTAAAGTCGACCAAAAGAAGGAAAAGCTCGGTAAGAACGGGCGCCCGTGTTTCTGGAACCTCGGCCGAGCCGGGGGGCGAGGTGGAGCCTGCTTTTCAATATTCACCCCGGAGACTCCACCCGCACGGGCTGCGCCGGGTTGCGAAACACTGGCGCCCTGATGCTGGCTTTAAGGTTGTGACTCCACCTTCCCTGATAGGACAAATTTGGTTATGGCGCACAGGAGCCACCTTCTCATCCCGGACCCCCCCCACCCCCCCACCCCCACCCCCAAAGAATACTTAGTTTTCCTTAAGGCTAACAGTCAAACTGAAAAGTAAAAGTAATGCTAGCTAGCAAAGACTAACACCAATGCAAACAACATCTCGCTAGCTAGTGTACGTATATAACACTGAAGGGCATACAATGCATGAGGCATGTATCCGTAGGTAAACCAGGAATACTGTAGTGCAGAGGTTTTTGTTCGTAGAACTCAATAAAATACTGATTTAGGAAACTTCATTGGCAATAAAAAGGTATAGAAATTTTTCTCATCTTTACAGGTTAAAATGTTTTTCAAACAATAAACAAGATTAGTAACACTGACCAAATGAAAACAAACAAACAATAAAACGACCTGGGATGTCTCAGTAACGAGTTTGACGGGTGAGTTCTGCTTTAAAATCTGTACTTCTATAAACAATTTTTAACACTGATATTTCATTTCCACGAGAAAAAAAAAAAAAGTGTTTTGTTTTTCTTTTTTTCAAGTTCAGGCACACCTGGGTTTTTGTACACAGTAGTGGACCGTTAAGATCAGGCAACCGCCGAGACTTTCTTGACTTTTCTGCGGTTTTGTCTTAATCGACTCGTCTTCGTTAACCGAGGCATTCGAGCTCTCCCGAAGACATTTTCCATCTTTTATTTGGCGTTTGTTGTCACCACTTCCTCTGTGGGTTCAGCGCCGTCCGACTCCTCCCTGACGCTTTTGTCCGTATTTGCTTCACAGTCTGGCATTTCCTCCGTATCCGCACCTGTCGCTTCCTCCTTTTCTTCAGTCGTTTCTTCCATCTTTTCGTCTTCCATGTGATCTTCCCGGACCTCGACCTCCAACACGTCACAAACAACCTCCTCACCCACCTTCTCTCCCTCTGCCTCTTCCTCTCCTGTCGTGTCTTCCTTCTCCTCCTCTCCCTCTTCTTTCGCGTCTTCCTTCTCCCCCTCTCCCTCTGCCTCTCCTATCGCGTCTTCCTCCACCATCTCCTCCCTCTCTGCCTCTTCCTCTCCTGTCGCGTCTTCCTCCACCATCTCCTCCCTCTCTGCCTCTTCCTCTCCTGTCACTTCTTTCTCCTCCCCCTCTCCCTCTGCCTCTCCTGTCGCTTCTTTCTCCTCCCCCTCTCCCTCTGCCTCTTCCTCTCCTGTCGCTTCTTTCTCCTCCCCCTCTCCCTCTGGCTCTTCCTTTCCTGTCGTGTCTTCCTCCACGATCTCCTCTCCCTCTTCCTCTCCTGTCGCGTCCTCCACCATCTCCTCTCCCTCTTCCACTCCTGTCGCGTCCTCCACCATCTCCTCTGCCTCTTCCTCTCCTGTCGCATCTTCGTCCACCATCTCCTCCCCCTCTACCTCTTCCTCTCCTGTCGCGTCCTCCTCCACCATCTCCTCCCCCTCTGCCTCCTCCTCTCCTGTCGCTTCTTCCTCCGCGATCTCCTCTCCCTCCTCCTCGTCGTCGTCCTCAAAGTTCCCCTCGTAGATCTCGCAATCACCGTCGTCCACCTGCACCACCCGGATGTCGTCCATACACATGGCCTCGTCGTCCTCGTCCTCCTCTTCCTCGCTCTCCCTCTCGTCTGAGTCCAGTTGGGAGGGTGGGGTCGTGGTCCGACTGTCCGACTGCAGTCCGGCACCGGGGCTGCCGAGCTCCGACTCAACCCTGCGCGGCCCCGAACCGGAGCCGGAGTTCGGCCCGTCCTTCTTGCAGTAGGAGTAGCGGTGGTTCATGTGCTGGGAGTATGAGCCGGAGTGAGAGAAACGCTTCCCGCACTTGTCGCACTGGTAGGGTTTCTCACCGGAGTGCAGCCTCGAGTGTTCGATCAGGTGGTGTTTGTGTTTGAAGGCCTTCTTGCAGATGTTGCACTCGTGGGGCCGTTTTCCTGCAGAGAGAGAACAAAGAGTCAGACAGGGACTCGTGCTGCCTTTGCTCGAAAATAACAAACTGAACTGCGTTTGGTTCAAATCCTGCTACCTGCTCTCAAAATCGTGACATATACTCAATTGAGTATAAGTTTAGTAGAAGAAGTATCTCTTGATTGTGAGGCGTACCTGTGTGTTCATATTTGTGCCTGAGCAGGGAGCTGCCCTTCTGGAAGACTTTGGAGCAAAGGTCACACGGGTAGACGCCGTTTTCCAGCCGTCGCTTCTTCATCATTGCGGCCGAATCCGAGTCATTCTGCTCCTCCACTGGTGAGACGCCGTCAGAGCTGCTGTCCAGCTTCTTCTCCTGTTGTACATGGAAGAAAAAGACATTTATCATCGTGGTCGAATTATTTAATTCAATGTGTCGGCTGAAGGCAATCATGTGAGGAAAGAGTGAGGAAGATGAGCTCAGTGATTCCCTGTTTGAAATGAATTGTCTAAGAAGTTAGAACAATGAATGTTAATGTCTCCCTTTGATTGAGCTGTCTTTGAAAATTATACTTCAGGTGCTGCTCTGTGGTCAGAGTAGTAGAACAGATATAAGATGAGATAATAAGCTCAGATCTTGTGTTGTGCTCGCCACCTGCTGACTGAAAGTGGAGAGGGTTAAGCCCAGAACGCTCACTTTAAGGTGGACTAGCTATTCTCAATTTAGGGAAAAGCTGCTCCTCCTAGTGGTAAAATGTGGTACCCCAGTCCGGTCCAGTGTTTGGATTCAAATCAAACCGGGTTGAGAAATGTTACACTGGCCCAACCCTACTACCAACCTTATGGCCGTTCAGTACGACAGTCTTTGCTCCAGTGACGCTGCCGGCCGTGGTGGCGTAGGTGTACGTGAGCTGGGGGATGAGGATGGTGCGTTTCGTCGTGGTGTTGATGGCCTTGAGACAGCTCATTGTGCCATGACCAGCGATGGCCACTAACGTGGGCAGCTGTGCGGCAGTGAGGATGCTAGCAGGTCTTCCGGTCTGAGGCGTGGTGACGTAGATGGTTCGACCCTCCAGCTGCTCCTTCCTCAGGCAGGTCAGGTTCAGCGGATGTTCCTGCTGCTTGGCGGGAGGCGTGGTGGTTTCCAATGCTGCTGTGATATGTTTAGGGAGGGAGAGGTCAAGCGGCTCGGCCTGAGAGTCCACGAAGTCTGGGTCTTCAGGCTCGCTCTTAACGATGATGAGGTCCCCGATATCGCGGCTTAGTGGTGAAGAGTCTGATGGGGAAGCTCTGCCAGATTCTGATGAGTCTTTGTTGGAGGTTTCTTGGGAACTGTCTTCCTCTGCCACCCCATTCTGATTCGAGGCGTCCTCTGAGCTGGAATTTGTGGTTTCAGTGTTTTTTGAAACCGCCATGGCTATTTTGCGGTATTTTCCCACATTTTTCCCAGAGTTCATCTTCGCAAACCACTTTCTGACCACATCCACATGAATACTGACAGACTCTGAGATCTTTGTCAGCTCCTCCTCGCTGGGGTTGGCATTGGACGCGAAGTAGGTCTTGAGGAGTGAGAGGAGGTCGTCCACAGGCGGCTCCTCCAGCGTCACCCCCGCCTCACTTAGCAGAGCGGCGAACGAGGGGTCCAACGCGGCGGAGTCAACGGCCTCCCCATTGGCTGCCTTGCGGTGCTGGAGGAGGTGTAACGCCTCCAGGTTGTCGGGACAGTCATCGCATAGTAAACATGTACTGGTGCTGTTGACTTTTGGCATCCGAGCTGTCTGTGTGACTGCTTCTGTCTCCATGTCTGTGATGGCCACTGATTCTGGTTCTGTCTTTACGATAGAGAGGTCGGTCACCTCTGGGGTTGAGGGTCTGTCTGTCTTGGTGGGGGTGGGGGCTGCAGCAGTGGTGACAGTGGGAAGGGGAGCAGGACTGGTTTTAGCAACAATCGCAGCAGTCTGGGTAGTGGTGGCGGCTGCAGAGCTGATGCTGTAGTTGATGATGATCTTTGTGGTGCCGTCGTGATCCACAAAGGCCGGCAGGCTGATGATCTGGTGCTGTGGCTGCTGGACCACAAATCCCTGCTTCCCCTGCGTCACCACCCCGTTAGCTGTACCCAGCACCTGCCTGAGCACATTTCCATCCATCGCCACCTTCAGCACATTCTGCAAGTCGCTCAGATTGATGCTGATCGGCGACATGAGGCCGACTGTTGGGACGACCATAGCCAAACCCTGAGGGAGGGTTGTAGTCGGAACCACAGCCGGCTGTGCCGTCCCGCCGTTGGTACCGGCTGAAGTTGCCGGTGCCGCGATCACAGGTTTGCACTCGTATTCCACAGGTTCAGATTTGATCTGGGTGACGGGGAGCTGCTCCTGCAGGGGTTTGCTGTCAGTCTTCTCTTTAAGTATCATGCGGGCCGGAGCAATTACAGCCGGGGTGGTCTGGGTGGTGGGTGCGGGGGATTTGATCGACGTTCGAGGGACGCCATTGGGAGGTGCTGCACCCACACACTTCTTACTGCTGATGTGGGAGCTGTAGGAGCCCGAGTGGGAGAATCGCTTCTTGCAGTTTGAGCATTCGTACGGTTTCTCACCTAAGAGGAGCACACAGAGAAATTACAAAAACTGTTCAAAGAGAAGCTTTATCACATCTTCAATTAGGATTATTTCTATTTGAATTATTTTTTTAATGGTAGGGACCGGATATGGTACCTCTATTGGTATGAAATATCTGGTCAGATTTACAATCTTATTAACTTAATCCGTGATTAGATAGTTTTCTGATTTTAAATCACAATTTGCCTAATTTTAGACTAAATTTCCAACATTTTGTCTTTTGTTTGTATGGTAATCTTTGGGTTCATGCACATGATTTCTTTAACTCAGTGAATAAAAGGAAAGCCTGTTGTAACAAAGCATCCAAGGAAGAGATGACTTAGCTGATATAAATCCTAATAAAAGCTGTAATCAACTTGTGATGACTGTGATTACAGATAATAAATAACTGCTACAAGCCTGGAGTTTTGAACACCAGGTCAGACCGTGTCGGGACGTGGACTGCGTGAGCGTATGAGTGAGAATGGCAACAGCTCACCGCTGTGAATGCGCAGGTGCTCCTTCAGGTGGTGCTTGTACTTGAAGGCCTTGGAACATTCGGTGCACTTGAACTTGCGGGTTCCACCTGTCGACTGGGAAACGTGACGCTGAGACAGACAAAAAAAATAGAGGACGGTGATGAGAAGATGTGTCCATACAATAGATAGAAGTCAGAAGTCTTCCTTTTGTTATTGTTAGTGAGCTGTTTAGTATTCATGTAACACAGAAAGCTTTGACCTTCTTTAAAACACAGGAGCAATCTATATTTTCTTAACGGTTTCAGAGGAACATTGATTATCTTTGCAGAGGTTTAAGTTTATGACTAGATTTGCAGATTGCAAAGTTGCGTATTGATTTTGAATGAATAATTAATCACAGTGCATGAAAGCAGACCCCAACGTCGAAGAATTTGTCAGGTGACCAGCACTTACAAAACCAAAAAAAGTCAATATAAAACCAGCCAATTTCAGTAAAAACAGAAAATGACTATGAATTATTAAGCCATAATATAAGACTTCCAAAGACAGATAAACTCTGCTTTAATCAGGAATGATTTGATCTTGTGCTCGACACATCTTACAACAGCCCGCAGTTTTGGAACAGTCTTCAGGTCCCGATGTTTACCTGCTCCCTGGTGCCCCTGTGGTGGCTCATGTGCCTCTCCAGCTGCGAGCGGTAGGTGAAGGTGTAGCTGCAGTGCGTGCAGCTGTAGTTGTCCTCGCTGGTCTCGTGGCGATACTTGATGTGCTCCTTCAGTGAGGCGTTGCGCTTGTAGCCCCGGGAGCAGTAGGGGCAAGTGTGCAACTGGGAGAAGGAGTCTGGGGTGCCTGTGATGGAGACGACAAGGAGAGGAAGATGGAGGGTGACGCTTAACTTCTGCCATCGTCACAAAGTCGAATAGCTTCTGAGACCCACTCCCACCCACCTGTGCAACGTCTGATTAGGTCAACATTTCTGAAACTGACAGTCACGCCCAGTTCAAGCTGTGATTGGCCAGCTGTCCCTCGAGTGAGTGTGATGAAGTCTTTATTTTCTTTGAGCCGAGTTGCCTCTAAAGGCTCGGCTTTAATTGGCTGCTATCTGAGCACAAGTTAACATTGACGCATTTATTCTACTGTATTGTTATTTGATGGATGCAAACAGAAAGTCCAACATTTTATTCATTCGTAATCATTTAATTATGACCCTTGGCTCACTTACAAAAAGTCCCTAATTTAGTGGACGTATCTCTGTGAAGGGAAGCTTGAATAATGGCGTACGGGCACTCAGACAACAAAAACAGCTTTTGATTCCAGCATTAATAAAATCAGGATACAGTTCACAGCGCAGACACTGAAATGAGTGAGCAGTGTTGGTGTGTAGATGTTACCGTTTTCATCGGCGCCCCCCGTCTCTGCCGGACTCTGCTCATCATCCGGGGCTTCAGGATAGATGACGGCTGTGTCTCCCTGCTGGAGAATCTCGTCCACTAGAGTATCCTCCTCAGCCTCCTCTTCCTCTTCTGACACATACTCCTCCTTCACTAAAAACACACACACACACAGACAGACAGAAGGTTTTAAATATATACAGGGGAGCAGAGTGACAAAGAGCATCCATCCGAGTAACACTGTCAATATATTTACAAAACCCGGCCCACTAGAGAGCGCCACAGGGCCTCTCTATGATTCCCTGTGATACGCATATTCCTCTCTTGAACACATTTATATTCCTGAAGTCAAAGCCTGGGGAGTACAATTTCTTTTGGACTTTGGACAATAAACCTTTTATAAAGCTCCATGCGCTGATTGTTGATAATCCTGGTGGCTCCCCATCATCAGAAGACAACCACCTGCCCCGCTATTGATGTTTAGAAGGAACAGGAGTTGTCAACAAGAGGAAAAAGAGGTTTTTTAAAGCTCTACATTGGCCAAACATTGTGAACTCTTCACACCTTCAGGAGAGGCCAAACCCCGTCTAAAGGACGACGTGAGAGAGGTGAAGGGAATATATATAAAACCACTCCAACGATTCAGCTGACGTGACTCTTCTCGACCTCATTTCTGTACAAAAGCGAAGGCTTAGCAGGCTCGGGTGAAAAGAAAACTACAGAAACTGCTGTGAATGTAATGGCTGCACTGTGTAGACAGCCATGACCTGTGGGACAGTGTTTGATGAATGTTTTCTTTCCAGATAGCGTATCAGAGATAAAAGCATCTTAAATGTATAATATATACGTTGTGTACAGCCGATTATGGTTTAATGTTAAAGAGACAGGATGTGTTTCCCTGTAACTACAATCAGCCTCATGAGGAATAATTATACGACTGGACTTGATCCTCGTGTCACACTGACAGTCTGTCCTCCATCCAACACTTACCCCCATTAAACCAAACACTCCATTCAAATTCAACTCAATACGAGACTCACAGACACAAAGACATGAGCTGAAAAACTCATATAAAAGTGTCATCGCCCACAAGCTGAATGTGTGAGGCTCTGAGTGCAATAAGATGTAAACAAGTTTGACATGAAGGCTGGAATGTATTCGTCGTGGCATTACAGCGATACGTGGATGATTATAGAGCAGAAAGAGAGGATTTGAACAACACCATGAGTCCAGTTGACTATATTAAGATTTACAATGGCTGGATTTTATTCACTGATGCCAGCAAATCAAAGTAGCCGAAAAAACAGTCTGAAAATGTCAGTTGAGGAATCGTGGGCCGTATTTAGAACGCTGACTGCAGCTCAAAGTGAGTTAAGACTGTAAAGCTTTCTCAAGTCGTCTCTCGTTTCGTACGTCCATCTGTGAACACTTACGGGATCACAGTTTAACAACTCTGATATCAACTTTCAGGTTTTAGATGAAACAATAGTGGGAATAAAGGGTTAATGTTTTAAAGGGGTTTAGTGCGGCGCTCCTTTCAAGTTCTGGTGCTCGCAAGAGACAGAGTTTAAAACAACAACAATGGCCCAAATCAAAGCAGCAGATATATTTTGACTTTTACTCTGTTATCGAGCTCAAGCGGCCAACAAGGAACTTCCTCCAGACAAGAACAACAAAGCTGAACAGATAAAGAACAGACAGTGTTGTGTACTCAAGCAGTAAAAATAGGGTTAAATATACATATATAAATGTGTGTATACAAGCACCAATGACCAACAATAAAATAAGAAATAAAACATCTATATACAAGTGTACACAATATAAATAGGCAGTATTTATTTATTTGCACTGATATACATGGACTGTATGATTATAATACTGTATGTACAGCAGCGTTAGGATTTATGTTGACACCGACCGATTATATGTACATATTAAAAAAATTTTTTACAATGCGTTCCATGTGTTTCCTTATCCGCTCTGCTGCTTTCATTCCCTTCTTTCCCTCTTGCTTGGCCTCTTGACTGAGATCTGTTGTGTTGTATAATAACCTCTTTAACAAAACAGTGGTGCAGCACATGGAGCAGAGACGTTACCTCACTCTCTCTGTGTGAAAACGTTGATAAGAACGAGCAGCGATGGGATGGACGAGGCATTCTAACTGCAGGTGGGACCGGTGCCAAAGGCCACGCCTCTTCCTGCGGAGCCTCGTCAGGGACAGGTGCAGCTGTGTGTGTGTGTGTGTGTGTGTGTGTGTGGCTGAGTCCCGCTAAAGCCTCATTTTAAACGGACAGATCTCAGCTTCCCATGATCTCATCCAAAAGATTTCCAAATCGCTCTTTTTCCCCCTTCGGAGGCGCACTCATCTAACTTTCATCAAGCTCCTTTCTCTCTCGACTCATCCCTCTTTCTCTTATTACCTCGTCCTTTCTCCCCCTTAACTTACTAGTCTGTCACCTCCTGTCTCTTCTCCTCTTCATCCTCATCTCTACCCTTCCTCCCTTTCTCTTCCTCGTGCGCCTACACTGACAGCAGCAGCTTCAGTATCGAGTGTGTGGAAGCTGCTAAATCTAAAAACACATCTTGTTCTCTCTGTTTTGGACTTCACACTGAGCCAGAAGTTTTGACATCGAAGAAGAGCTTTTTCAAAGTGAAGAGGACAACTTTCTGACGACTTAAACATTTTCCATAATCACTTCTTTTAAATGTCCAGAGAGCTGATCACAGACTACAAGTGTTGTCATTAACCTGGATACCTGTCTGCTGATAACTTAGTGATCGTAAAACAGATCGTTGTTGTTCTTATCGTACGATAAATGGACATTTTGCTTACATGCCTTGTTACATGAGAATGTCAGCATTTTAGTCAACATGATGCCAGAACAAACAGCAGATTTAAAGGACCTACGCGTTTAAAAAGAATACCCAAGTGGACATTCTTATTATGCTATTATATGATCATGATATCAGTGGCATTAAATGGCCTTAAAATGACAAAATTTTGTCCAACAGAAAGCAGTGATCGTGACAGTCAAACCCTCAGATATTCAGTTTACAATCTCACAAAGAAAAGCAGCTAAATCCTCACGGTTCAGAAGTTGGAAGAGAGAAAAGTTTGTAATTTCTGTGTGAAAAACGACTTCAGTGACGAATGACCATTGTGTCTATCGACTAGTTGTTCCAGCTTTAAAGAGTTAAGACGAACAGGATGTACGATGAACAGATTTTCTGTTTTGCCATCAGGAAATAAATGTATCTGTTTTATAATTGTTCAGACATTTAATGTGGACGGAGATCTTTAGAAAAACTACCAGAGGACAATAGTAGAGACGTCAGCTGTTTTCACACGTGAGCAGAATTCTGATTGGGGTCTGTTATGGACGTCGCCTCACTTGTAGCTACCCTCCCTTCTTTCTCTGCCCGACTCTTTTTGTCCTCCTCCCTCTTGCTTACTTCACTTCCCTCCATCACTCTCTCGTCCCTTCGTCCTACCTCTTCCTCCTCACTCCTTTTCCATTCCTCTCACTCTCACTCCTCGGACCTCTCTCCATTTTCTCTTGTAACTTCTGTCTCTGCACTGTCATCTTTTCTTTCTCTGTTTCTGCCCCTCGCCTCCCTCCTTTCCCTCCCTCACCCGTCCTACCCCGTCACTGATACACCTCGCTGCATATTTTCCCACCACACTCTACAATTACACTTAATGCCTCACAAAAAGCCACGCAGTAATGACGACCAGGACCCCGCAACACACACACACACACGTGGGATATCAGAAAGGAGTGAAAACAGGAAATCATGTGACACACACACACACACACACACACACACACACACACATTCAATGGGAGTTATTCACAAGCATCCAGTGCAGACGCACACATACACAGAGCGCTGCACTCGTAAACCTTGCCAGAAGCTGTCACAGCGAGTCCGTGGTGGATTTATAAGGCAGGATGGATTGGAGCTGCAGTGCGGCCCAGACTGCAGGGGGAGCAGCGGATACTAATCCCTCACCAGAGGACCAATTCAACACCAGCTGCTTTCTCCCTGCTTTCTCCTCTCCCCCTCAAGACGGGGAAGGAAAGAAAGGAGCAAAAGTCAGACAATCTCCCCAAAAAACAAAAAAAAAATCACGCAAAGCCTTTGAAGGGTTCCCGACGTGGCTCAACAGCGCTGCAACGTTTCATGACTTTTCCATGACTCCCCTCCAGCACCGCCGGAGCTCTGGCACGCTCTGAAGACGGTTCTCCTTCCTGCTTTGTTAATGTTTCTCTAAAGGAAGTGAGAGCAGGACGGTTTCTGCTGCAGGTGCGGCTGTAAAACAACAGGTATCGCCATGAACGCATGACTCAAGTCAAAAACATCACGGTACTCTCTCGTTCTGTGACCCCAAAGAACCCGTTTATAAACTCAGTATGAAACCTGTTTGTCGGTCTGTTGGTCTGTATAAAGGATATAGTTTACTGTCCTGCATCACCTGACAGTGAGGGTCAAGGGTTCAAAAGCGTTAAAAAACAGCCAACTGCACACTCTACTCAGGCCACACAACTCAGCACCATGTTGCTGCAAGCAACACTGGCAACAGACAGAAAAATGTTCGTACTGCATCCCAAAAAGAAGTGGAGCTGAACCGTTGATTGACAGTTGACAGAAAGTTCTCAGGCTCTGAAATGTGGAGATTTCCTGCTTTTCTCTGCTTGATGTCATATTAAACTGAATATGTGACAAAACAAGACATTCCGTGGACTTTGAGAAACTGGGACGGACATTTTGAAACCGAGCCGGGCTTCAGATCTCATTTTTTTTTAATTCCTGGAATCCTAGGGAAGCTGAAACCAAAGATACGTTTCCTACAGGACTGAATGGAAAGAACAACCGGACCGAGGAACTGATGGATGAATACGATCGCTAATTAGAGCAGAGGTCCATAAAAACAAGATAATATGTTAAAAAAAAACCATCCTTGTCATTTGCTTTCATGACTCTTCTGTATCATTTTCCCATATTTTAAGAAACATCTACCACACTCACTCATATCACCAGAGTTTCATCTTAAAGTAAATCTGTTTATAATGTATTCATGTGTAGATACTATGAGGTCGGAGGTCAGGCCTAATAACCGGCAAAATCAACATCATCCAGCTCACCAACGTAACAATAATTACATTTATTTCTACAGAACTTATATGAAGAGATTACAAAGTGCTCTAAAAAACAAATCCAGAATAGCGTTTAGAGTCCGTCTGATACTGGGTGCTTGAACCTGATAATCTATATGTGAGACCTTTTCAAGATATATCAGCCAATATCAATGAGCCACATGAGAGCCTGAACGTTGGTATTGTTGTGATAACTGTAGCCTACTTAAACCATTGATGCTAATATGAAAGGCGAGCAAACACTCTGTTTGTTTAACTGATGAGAGGAAACGAAAAGAGAGACTCCTAAATGCAAGTTTCATTTCTAAAGTATTTAACATGTGTGTATGTGTTCAACAACACATGCATCAAACGTTTATCTCTTCTACATGGCCGGCAGCTATTACAGATCATACGAGGTGATGTGGAAACGGCAGTGAAGACAATCAGGAACGTTCACAAATTCACTCCTCTCACTCTTTCTAGATCCCCAGGAAACACTGTGCTGGAGCAGAGAGAGGACGACGCCTACAAAGTTAGAAAAGTTCGCTTCTCCACACAAAAAATAAGAAAAGTCAAATAAGCGATGCTAACGTCAAGGTTTACTGAACAACAACAAGCTCAGCAAAACCCTCTGTGGATAATTAAGGGCTAATAATAAGCCGGAGCACCACCCATCACTGCCAACACCGAGGAGAGGCTTTCACACCATATCTGAGCGGGAGAAGAAAACGAGGAGAAGAGGAGAGGAAAGTAGGGAAACAAAGGCAAAGAAGACGAGCTGGAGGAATATAAAGAGATGAAGAGAGACCAGTGACTGCAGAGATACAACAAGTACACGGAGGAGAGAGACACACAAAGTGAAAGAGAGCGAGCAGCGCTCATGAGCACTGCTCGCACCATGTAAGGCTTTATTCAGAAACAATGAAACAAGCCTCCAGAGCAATATCTCTCAGTGTCACATTTCTCACCGTCTCCATGGTTTTAGTATTTCCTGCTTGGCTGTAACCGGCTGCTGTTGAGATGAAGGCAGATGCTTGCGTAGGCTGAGCCGTGTGCGGGGAACGGAGGATTAAAAGGGCGTAAACACAAGCCAATCAACCTCTGCTGCTGAAGGCAGACTCGGTTCTGCCTCTGCTTATTAAGTCTGGCGGTCGTTTTGTTGTTCGGGTCGGATTCTAAGGTGCGACGGTGTGCTTGTGTGGCTAAGGGCTGATCCTGCAAACTGGCTTACTTTTGGTTATCTGGAGGTTTAAATTCAGGAGTTTCAGAAGTGAAAAAGATGTAAAACCTTCCAAAAGAGTCTTTGTGCCTTCTGTCTGTGAAACCTCTGGAACTATAAGAGGAAGGACAGCAGGAAGGTGATTGATTAGCTGAGTTTAATAAAGCAGACGTGGTGCATCCTGCATGATGAAACCTGTTCTGTGTTAATCTACAAGTGGGCATGCAGTGCAAATAAAACCTGTCTGCACAGACCAACAAGAAGCAGTTTAGCTGACTCAACTCCCCACAGACAAACACAGACCCAGCAGTGCTAATGAGGAAACTCATGAAAGTGATATCTCACTAATATCTCAGTCGTACATCTCGTACATCTTCTCTTCCAGATCCTTAATTGTAAAGTCCTGCTGCTTTCCTTTGTATTATGTGATAGTAAACTTCGATTTATTGTCTTAAAGGTACAGCGTGAAGCATTTCGGGGATCTATTGGTGGAAATGGAATTGGATCGGTACTCGGTATCAGACGACACCCAAAGACCAGGGATTTTATACAGCAAATAAATAATCAATTAATACAAAAATCAGCAGATTATTAATTGTTAGTTGCAATCAAAAGATGTTGCAATAACATGCATTAAAAAAAGGTATCAGTATAGTAGGTGTGGTCCCTAAATAGGTAAATTTATGCAGCAAATAACATCAAATTCTCATAAATATAGAGCGTATATGGCAAGACATCGTAATAAGCCCTCTTCTTTTTATGATACTCTAATAATTCAATACCTCACATTTGGGGGATGTAATATTTCTTCAGACTTCGCATCGTTTTGGGGAAAAACCTGAGTCATTAATTTTGAACAGCGACACCAGAGATGACAAGGAATGATGATCGAGCTCGTTACTGTGTTTTATCAGAGAGGGATGGAGGGGGGGAGGGGGCGGGATGGGATGCTTCATGCATGTGTGTGTGTGTGTGTGTGTCATTAGGATGCAGGGTTGTACAGAAACTCAGAGAGGAGAGCAGAACATCTGGCTGCGTGAGCGAGCAGAGGTTCCCTAAGGCTGAGAGGAGGACTGAACTAATCCGATCAAAGAGAGAGAGAGCAGGCAGATGAACACGGACAAATAAATCATCAGCGGTAAATAATACAGCCACATACGCTGCGTGAAAACGGTGATGTTGCAGGTTCACGCCTGCGCGAGATGGATCTGATCAAACCGTGGTTGCGATCTGTGTCCGAATGTTCTATCTGCACGTTTATGCTGCGTTCCATTTAGCTCAGGAGTTGAGAGTCGGAGTTTACTGCGTTCCAGTACAACAAGCTGGCGCTCCGGTCAGGTTAGCCATTAGTCAGCTGGCAATACAAGTTGATAACAAGACATAACCACAGTATTCTGTACAAACAAACGCCGAACAAAAGTAGTGTATGAATAACTGAAAAATCAGCCATTTGACAAAACACAACAATGTGTTGTTTTCTATGTATTCTATAAGCTTCACTTCTCTGACTGGATTACAGCTTCACTCAGATCCTCTCTTCATCAGTCATCGCTCAGTAATCTCATCCGAGCATCTCTTGTGTTTGCATTGTGTATCCTGCCGTCAACCCAAACAATACAAACCTCTCTCACACAGGCAGTTGACCCACATAACCGAACATGTGCTCCGCTTGTGATGTTGACTTCGTTATTCTCTGTCACGGATGTAAGAGTTGCATCAAACAAGGGTTCATATTAAGTTATATTACATATTTTTCTATAGTTTCTTATTCATATTTTTATTGTCATTTTTACTTTATTGCCAAAACCTATTCTACAGAGCTCAGACCCCACACACACACACACACACACACACACACAGAAGCATTCAATGTTCAGTGGAAGGCTGCGATATGTGTAAATAATACAAGTATTCAACTACAGAAAGTTGTGTCTTTGAGCTTTATCTAACGCAATAATAATGGTCCAAAGTTGTGGCTGCTCAGCAGCTAAGCCGTCTGGAAACCCTGCTGTATTTCTGAAAGGTGTCAGCCTGTTAGGAAATGTATGGGATTTGTTATGGATGTGAGAGCTGAAGATTATACGGAAGAACCTCTGAATGTCGGGCAAGATTATATAATATTGAAGCGCGTCTATTTCTCAGACGTGCTTACTCTCCCTCCTTCTGCCTCTTCGCTGTTTCTCTATCTGCCTCGCGATGGCGCTTCACTTCTCCGCTGATCTGAAAACATCGCACCACACCGAGACCGTGACCGCGGTCGGCTGACTCGTGCTTCGGGCTCTTCCACACACCAACTCGTTACTCGGTGAACAGGTGGGGACTTCAAAAACAAACTGCATTGTGTTTGCACTCGGGCGAATGAAGCGCTGTTTCAAAATAATGCACCACCACCACAGAGAACATGAAGTCTGCCTCTGTCCTGGTTTGGTTCCACTTGACAACAGTTGCGTGGATAATCCTCACCGCCTGTTCTCATGTATCCACTGAAACAGAAGAGCCAACGCGTGACCATATAAAGATGACAGTACTATCAAACACTGAGCCGACTCGCTCCATTATTAATCCTTTTAGAGGTTGATTTACAGCGATGATGGAGATGAATTGCACGTGCGAGCCATGGGACTTTTTTTTGTGCACATTAGCGGCTTTCCCTGTCGAGGAAAGAGTCCAGCTTTGTTGATTTAACTCTGCAGACAGTCTGTGAGAATCTGTGCAACTAACATGAATAACACTCCCTGGACTACATCTCCCGAGGCGCAGCTGTGTAAAAGTTGAACTTCCCTGCAGCAGAGCTGTGTGGCAACAGCTTGTGTAAGCCGGTGAGTGGACTGCTGAGAGAGAGCAAACACGCTCGGCAAACCTTCCCATGGATCAACAGACACGACGAAGATCAATCTTCAAAGTCCAGTCTAAAGCCAGGGAATGTCTGACCTACATTTACTCTCACAAAAAGATATTCGGCTGGAAGGAACACTTCCATACTGATACTGACAAATCATGTCTACGATGGAGGTCTCACCTCCGTTCAAGCAGCCGTTGTGGGGTAATACTGTTGTGGTGGTGGTGGCGGCGTCGTGGCTGTCCTGCGTCTTGGTCCCATCGGCGTTGGCGACCTCCGGCTCCTGCAGGCTGTCCTCCTCCACGATGTGTAGCTTGTCCTCGTCGTCAGAGTCCGAACTGGCCTCCAAGCCATTGTTGAAGTCTGTCACTGCAGAGGGGAGACACAGAGATGGAAGACGTTCAAACATTTATATAGCGGCCGCACCTTCTTATAGAGCTCGCTCTGATTCACCAGTGCAGAGGAGGGGTAATCAGCGTCTCATTTACATCTGGGATGCAGAATATAGACAATTAAGCGCAATTACCGGCTGCCAAACGTAACAGCAGTGTGATCAGCGTCTGAGCTGCATGGGAACGTGTGCCTCTATTGGAAGGAGTCCAGTCGGATTGCCGCCTTAAGTGTCTCTCCTTCATACGTTTCTGGCACCTCTGGAAGTCTTGACGCTAAACCAAAAGAGCCTTTGTGCTGCGCTCTACTTACTTAAGCCTACAAACATACACAATAAGGCACAACGGTGCAGAAACAAGGTGTGTTGCTAGATTGTGTGTTTAAAAACGTGTCAATGGCACCTATAAGGACGCCGTGATCTTTATGGTAATTTCCACAAGACAAGACCGCTGCACCTGTGCTCCATAAATTTTATATATAACCATTCTACCCGAGAGAGTTGGATCCATGAAATGCAGCACGAAAAGCCTGAATTAGCCGACCGTGGCCAAGTCAGACCGCGGGTCAATGTGTCGTACCTGTTGAATGCAACACAGACATCAGATGTCTTTTCATGAACAATAGAAGACTGAAGTAAAGAAAGAAAGGAAGCTGCACTCCTATGAAATCACAGAACAAGCCGGAGTTTTTAGTTCAATCCTCTTTTCACTTTACGTGCAGCTGCCAAGACGAAAACAACACAGTGTGTAAGAAAGAAAGATGTTTCTTAAGCGTAATATATTTACATTAAATTGCATTTGCAGTGACCCTGGCATCTCAAAAACCCATTTAACTCCAAACCAGATCTCGTCTCTCCAGATCCTCTGCAAAACATCATTTTCATCATCATCACATCAATCTATCTCTGACTCCAGGTACACACACTCTCCCTCTCTTCACGGAGCAGACAAAAACAACACACAAAACGACAAACAGCAGCCATGGGGAAGAATAATCACTCGTATATCAGCCTGAGAAAACAAATCTATTGTACACTGTGCTGCAGTCAGGGAGTTTGTCTGTGGGGTACAGCTTCTTAATGGAAGCTCAGGGTGAAGAATGGACCAACTGGACTGGTCTGAATGAATTTAGCCCAGTGTGTGTGTGTGTGTGTTTAGCACAAAAGCTGCATGAGATGTGAATATACAGGGACGTATGTGATGATGAGCACTATGCAGTAGGTATTTAATTGCTTATTTCGCTGTCAGCATGTGTGAGAGCACAGATCAGTACGTGTGTGTGTGTGTGTGTGTGTGTGTGTGTGTGTGTGTGTGTGTGTGTGTGTGTGCTCTTCGCAGGGTAGCTGTACGTCTTGGCGGAGGTGCTGAGGACGCCTAATGAGGAGGAAAGCTTGGGTTGTTTGTTCACAGGTGACAGGTGCACACCCACACACACACACACACACACACACACACACACACACACACACACACACACACACACACACAACAAAACAAGCTCTGTGTGTGTGCTCTGGTTCTGCACCTCTGCATGAAATGAGAAGCTATTTCAGGTAGCGCCGTTAACCGCTCACACACCCTTTAATGCAGGGACCAGATGACTCCCACCTACATTTAAGACACACCCTGAGCACACACACACACACACACACACACACTCCTCCAGGAGTGATGCGGTGCATGTCACTGCTCCAGACAGACGAGTGGAGCTGTGAATGCAAGAGTGTGTGTGTGTGTGTGTGTGTGTGTGGAGGGGTGAGATCGATCACGTCTGAATCGATCTAAGAGGCTGGTGCAGAAGGAGACTGAGGAGCATAGCATATTTGTGTGCATGAGCTCTGGTTTGATGATGGAGAAATACACGACAAGTACACAACTTCTGCTGGTTGCTGGTTCAAATCCTTTGACATGTCCGCATGTTAAAGGTCTTAATACCAGCTCAGTACAGAAATATATATACGTGTACGTCTCATAGTATTATTATTTCCGCTATTTCAAGCATTAAAACATGACTGCCCGAGTGCAGTGTGACCAACACCCTACAGGGTAATGGTGAACCTCTGTGGTTTGGCCAGATGCAGATGATTTGAGCAGTTTATAAATTCACTACACACGCCTACTACAGGCAGCTACTTCCTAAAAATCAACAAACAGTGTCTCTCTTCATTCAGACAAAAAACAACCACGGGTTATTAACCAGGCTTGTGGCAATCCCAATAATAGCCAGGTGTATACTTCCATAGACACAGCCTGTGTCTGTTCTGCACACCAGAGGCTGCCTGTTGCAAACTGGTGAGTAATTCTTAACAATGGTGGCTGCAGGGAACACGCAGCTGAGCTCCAGATACACCGGATGTCTGAGAGGCTTCATATGTATATTCTGTATTCATTCCTTTGTTGAATATGAAGGTTTTGATGAAAATGCTGTCGAGCATCAATTCCTAGACTTGACTCGGCGGTTTTGCTCGTATTCTACTTGAATATATTGTGATTAAATAATCCCTTCCAGACTTCTGAACGTTTAAGGGTTTGATTGTAATACTTTTCTCTTCACTTCCAGACCTGGCAGACTCAAAATCCACTCAAAGTCCACTGAGCAGAACTGTAGGAATACCAGCCTCACGTGTCTCATCACAAGCAGTCTAGAATGCTAGTATTTTAGTTCCGTCTGCCTGGTGTCAGGTATGTGCATCGCTCCTACTGTTTAGTAGAAAGAGAGAAAGTAAAACCTTCAAATGAAGCACAAACGGTGGTAAAGGAAAGCAACATGAGATCGGATTACAGACTGATCAGGTGAGCACACATCATCGTGCTCGGCCTGATTTTCTTTTGAGCACAGTAATTCAGCCAGTTGGCTCTGGTTAGAATTAGAAACATGGTGCAGCCCTGACTACAAACAACCACTGAGGTTAATGATCATCATCATGTGCTTCCTCTGCTCTGTTGAGAGCAGTTACCATTACAACAGACAGGGGGCACTGTGGAGCAGAGCAGGGAAGACACGCAGACACGTCTGACAACAACTTTCTCATGTGTGTGTTTAGAGAGAGAGAGAGACACACACATCATCATGACAATGGGTCATATTAACTGTTAATCCTCCATCTGTAAAGAGGAAGAGGGAAGTCTAGACGACAGCATTCCTCCCTTCCTGCCGTCCATCTCTGTGATTATGAATCTGTTTCACAACAGGCCTCATCATTCTTACTCCAAACTAATATTTACTAAGATTTCTCCTCTGATCGCTCGTTGGGTTTCTGCCACTTTAGGTCATAAAGTTTTCAATCCTTCTGTGGGTTGAATCAATTCATTATTTAAAATATTCGATGCACTGAACTCGCCCCCGCCTTTCACATCATTCATAACAGAACTAAGATTAATAGGAATGGAATCAGTATCGGCAGATAAAGGCTTTAAAAGGAAATATCGGCCAGAAATAAACATTTCCTCCGACAGGACAGGCAGATAAGATGACGTGTCTGCAGACGGGACGCCGGCAAAAACATTCTAGTCTGTTGAAGTAGGAATCATGTTACATAAAATTAAACATGGCTTGTTTTACATGTAACCTCAGTTTAACTAGTTTTACTGTTTTGCCCAGTGAATGTGTACATATATTTAAAAGCATTGTATTTATATCTGCGTCTGTCAGCGTAATAAGTAGTAATAATAGTAGTAATCATGTGTCAGGAGAGACTTTATGTTTATGTATATCGGCAACAGCAAACAATCACAAAGAGTTGGAAAATAATGGATAAAATCAGCAATTGTGCATCCATAAAGATAAACATTGTGTATACAGCACTATAGCAGCTCACAATAGAGGCAAACTAGAGGTTTCTGTGGTTGTGGACAACATTGGAAGTAGAAGTAGAAGAACCTGTCTTCCTTTCTCACCTCCTTCAAACTAAACTTCAGACAACACTGACAGCGAGACAAACACAAAGGGCCACATGGTGATATAATGGCACACATTGTCATGTCGACCCTCAAACACCACCAAACACTGAAACTGTGCTTTAATGGCACGGGGAACTGCCAACAGCACAATTAAAACAAGAGACGCGTTACAGAGAGAGCGACGAGTCAGAGGACGGAATGCATAATATCCTGTCTGCCTTTTTGTGATCTGACCTTCATTTAATCAAACAGTCTGACAGAAGTAAAAAAAAGAGAGACCTCAACAAGCACGCAGGACTAGTGATAAACAACAAGGTAGAAGATTAAATGAAGAAATAGGCCTTAATCCCAACCACGTTTAATGCCACTGCTCTGCACTGTACACAGTTGTATCCGCTGAACTGCCACTTCATATTGTGTCTGGCTTTCACCTTTCAATGATTGGAAAAGGACAAAACACTCACTGCCTACAAACACTTCTTCTTCAGCAGCAGCAGTTTAGTGCGCGGGCAGCAGAGAAACCTGACCCACATCAGGTCATGTGACCCTGGAGGGAGAAATCACGTGCGTATGACACACCATAACACAACCCTGACTGGACCTCATGGCCTGGTCTCCGGGTCAATGGGCGGCTGCTGTGCAGTAGGAAGAGGGAAAGAGGGGGGCAAGCTAGAAAGGGGCTACTAGAGTTCATCTGCACTATATTGGCCATAATAACAAGAGTCTACAGCTACGCTAGCAGCATTGTGAGGCTGTACTTAAACACAGCGGGGCGTTGAGTTGGTACGGTAGCATCTTCATGCTAACGTGCTCACAATGAAGATGCTAACATGCAGACGTTTAGCATCTTAGTTCAGCATGCAACATGTTCAAACACCAACCTGGCTTTGCATATATTTTCTAAGTTGAACAAAACACAAGATTAAGATTACACAAGATATATGGTGAACGTCTCATCAGCATCAATCATTACCGAAACACAGCTGAGCAAACACTCACTATACTGTACGTGAATGAAAATGAGTCAACTCCTCCATGTGTGACGCGTTATTGACAAGTCCAAAGACGAGTGAGCAAAAC